ATTCTTGCCCCCCCATCCACATTCTTGGCACCCCCTCCACATTCTTGGCACCCCTCCCACATTCTTCCCTTCCTACTCCCCCCCCGCTCACCACATTCACCGTTACACACACACACACATCCCCCTTTCTATGGATACTGTCCACAATCCCTCATGGAGTGCAGTGGTTCAAGATGGCAAGTGACCACTACCTTCTCGAGTGCCATTAGGGATGGCTGAGATCACGATGCCCAAGTTGCAAGTCATAAACTTTTACAAATGGAAAACTTTGGTCACATATGTTTCCTTTCAACAGTATTTGAATTCTGTGCCAAATGATTCTTTGCAACATGGTTTTCTATATTATGAATTGTGTATCTTAAAATGAGTTACATTGTTTATCTAGCTTTTCTTTAAGTGCATCAAGTTTTGATCTCAGCTACTCCGGGCGGTAGCAAGGTCTACACATTCCAACCAGAGTAATGAGGTATTCTTGAATTCTTCATTGGATATGTTTGTCATTGTCTTGGATTTGATCTTGCCTGCCAATAGAAATATCTTCTCTACGTCTGTCCTATCAAACCCTATTCTAATCTTAGAGAAATTTGACATCTCCATAAGGATTGTCAGCAAATGAATACAGAGTACTGGGCTAATGGTAAGATTCTTGGTAGTGTGGATGAGCAGAAAGATCTCGGTGTCCATGTGCATAGATCACTGAAAGTTGCCACCCAGGTTGATAGCGTTGTTAAGAAGGTGTACAGTATGTTAGGTTTTATTGGTAGAGGGATTGAGTTTCGGAGCCATGAGGTCATGTTGCAGCTGTACAAAACTCTGGTGCGGCCGCACTTGGAATATTGCGTACAGTTCTGGTCACCGCATTATAGGAAGGATGTGGAAGCATTGGAAAGGGTGCAGAGGAGATTTACCAGGATGTTGCCTGGTATGGAGGGAAGGTCTTATGAGGAAAGGCTGAGGGTCTTGAGGCTGTTTTCGTTAGAGAGAAGGTTAAGAGGTGACTTGATAGAGACATACAAGATGATCAGAGGATTAGATAGGGTGGACAGTGGGAGCCTTTTTCCTTGGATGGTGATGGCTAGCATGAGGGGACATAGCTTTAAATTGAGGGGTGATAGATATAGGACAGATGTCAGAGGTAGGTTCTTTACTCAGAGAGTAGTAAGGGCGTGGAATGCCCTGCCTGCAAAAATAGTAGACTCGCCAACTTTAAGGGCATTTAAATGGTCATTGGATAATAATGGAATAGTTTAGGTTAGATGGGCTTCAGATTGGTTTCACAGGTCGGCGCAACATCGAGGGCCGAAGGGCCTGTACTGCGCTGTAATGTTCTATGTTCTATGCACCATAGAAAGCATTCTATCTGGATGCATCACGGCTTGGTACAGTAACTGCACCACATAGGACTGTAAGAAACTACAGAGAGTTGTGAACACAGCTCAGTCCATCATGTAAGCCAATCTTCCATCCACTCACTCTACCTACACTTCTCACTACCCTGGAAAGGCAGCCAACATCATCTAAGACCTCTCCTATCACAGATATAATCTTTTCCAACCTCTTCCTTCAGGCAGAAGGTAGAAAAGCTTCAACACACATACCAATAGATTCAAAAACAGCTTCTTCCCCACTGTTATTTGACTTCTGAATGGACCTCTCAAATTTCAAATCTAATGTTGATCTTACTTTTTGTTCACATTTGCAGCCGTAACTTTGTATTCCTCGTTCTGTTCTTTCAGGCAGTGACCTTTGTATAGTATGATCTGTCTGTACTGCATGCATAACAAAACTTTTCGCTCTACCTAGATACATGTGACAATAACAAATCAAATCGAATTCTATCAAGTTACCTCTCAGTTCTCTCTTTTCCTCAATGAAGAGTTCCAGCCTGGTTAAAATTTTCTGATTGGTATCTCTTTGGTGTTATTCTAATAAATCCAACTGTTGCACCTCCCCCTGTGCCTGTGTCTTTTGTATTTGATCTAAATTTTGAATTTGGTTGGTGTTTATATTGTTGCAATTGTGCCAACTCATTGTAAAGGTGAGTAGGTTACGGCGGTGAGGCCAGCTAGTGTTAGCATCGCATATAAACATTTTGTCTACTCCTGTGACTCTAGAAATGTCTGTTGGTATGGTCAAAAGTGGTTTAATGGCTTTGTTTTAAAATGCAGAAAACTGATTTAAAGCACAGAATGCTGATGGATGTTAAAATAATACCGTGCTAATTGTTACTTAATTTGTAAACTTAGATGTTATTTTCCTGTTTCAGAAGTTTTAAAGGAACTTGATGATGCTTATGAAAAGTATAAGCAGGAAACGGACATCACTCAAAGAAAACGACTGCTGCATCAACTCCAGCGAGCATTAATTAACTCTCAAGAGCTGGGAGATGAGAAAATTCAGATTGTTTCTCACATGAGTGAGCAAGTAGAGAATTGTGCAAGGGAGATGGATAGTCACTCAGAATGTTTTGAGGACCTAAATGAACATGAGAGGTCTATTGAGAAGATCAAAATGGAGGTGTCTCAAGCAGAAAGACCTTCCCGAAGGCTGCGTCGACAGAAAAACGGTGAAAACCGTGACTTGTGTCATGTTGGTAATGAAACTGAAGAGGGAGAGGAGCCTCCTAAAGAGAAAAGATCAAAATCCTCAAAAAAGAAGCGCTCAAAAGCTAGACCTGAAAGGGAAATCTCCCCCATTGACTTTCCTATCGATCCAAACGAACCCACTTACTGCCTGTGCAACCAAGTATCTTATGGTGAAATGATAGGATGTGATAACGACGAATGTCCAATTGAGTGGTTTCATTTTTCTTGTGTAGGCTTAACATACAAGCCAAAAGGCAAATGGTATTGTCCTAAATGCAGAGGTGATACTGAAAAGACTATGGACAAGTGCATAGAAAAATCAAAAAAAGATAGGAAGTCAAGGTAGTGACTACAATAAATATTACACAGTTTCAATAACTTTCAACATCATGTATAAGGCATCAGCTTAAATTGTATGTATAACTATGCAATCATTTTTACTATTGTATTAAACATGGCTGAATTTTAATTAATGTATATTGACTTGTGTACCCAAATGACATTTGCGAAGAATTGCTTATTTAAGCAGCTTTTAAATGAGCTCAAAGTAGCCGAATACATATCTCTCTGCATCTATGGATTTAACATCTAGGAAGTGTATAACACGTAAGGAGAGTACAATCCTCATGTTGAGAGACTGGAAGTGGTAACTTAGTTTATTGCAAAGGTTGGTCAGATATAATTTGTGTGGCCCTTCAGGTTTAGTCTAACACAATTTGGTGCTTACAATAGCAACACAGTGTTATATCTTATAGATTCTGGGGTCATATTTAGGAGTTAAACTTTAGCTTGTGGTACTTTAAGTAGATTTGACAGAAAGCTGCTTTAAATATTTGTGCAAGTGCACTCCCATTATTCTGAGAGAAGCAAAATAGTCTGTATCTTGAACCACATTATTACCTCCAGCACCATCATCAGCATGAGATGTCAAATGTGAGGCACTGAATTGAGGGTCAGTTTTGATTAGCACTTGTGTTCTCACTTGGCCTCTTCCTACATCTCCATGATAAACATAAGTGAAATTCTCATGTATCCTGAAACTCCTAGAAAAGCCATTTCATTTTCTAGAAGAATAAACAGAATCCTGAATTGTTGTAGTCTTTCAGCCTGTTGAGTCTGCACCAGCTCTGAATGAGCATTGACTCAATGCTACTTTACTGCCTTTTCCCCATAACGCCGAATATAGTTTCTGTTTAAATAATCAGCTGATGTCCTTTTGAATGCCTCAGTTGAACCTGCCTCCACCATGCTTCCAGGTATTCCAGACTTTAACTATTCACTATGGGACAATTTTGTTTTTCTCACATTGAGTATGCATATTATTTGCAGAATAAGGATATGTGCCCTCTCATTCTAGATGTTTTCACGAAACAGAACAGTTACTCCCCATTTACACTGTCCAGATTCCATTGTGGTGAAGAAAGAATCTATCAAAGCTCCAAACTGTCTTCAAAACTGATGTGTCTCATCCAGAATCATTCTCATAACCATCTTCTGCATACTACCTGATATGTTTTCATCCATTTTAAACTGTAGGACCCAGAACTACTCAGTACTCCAGCAGAGATCTAAATTCAGCTAACCTCAGTGCATCACCTCTCAGTCTCCTCACTGAACTTCAGCCAAGTGCCCTCCTTATAGAATTTGGAAGCATTGCAAACTGTATCTTCTGCAAGCTGAAAATTGTTCCCTGCATGCCAAGGTCAGGACCTTCAATATAAAGCAAGGGTCCCTATACCAACTCCTAGTTAACATCCCAGTAATCAATGTGGTAAACCTTTGCTGCATTTCCTCTATAACAAGGACATCCTCCCTCAGATAAGGAGACCAAAACTGCGCGCACAATATTCCAGGTGTGGCCTCATCAGTGCTCTGCATAATTCTAGCAAGACATCTTTGTTCCTGTACTCAAATCCTCTTGCTATGAAGGCCAATGTACAGTTTGCTTTCTTTACCTAGTGAACTTGCACACTTACTTTCGGTGACTGGTACACATAGACATCCAGGTCTTGTTGAACATTCCCCTCCCAATTTGTAGCCATTCAAATAATAACTTGCCTTCCTGGTTTTTTTTGCTTCCAGAGTTAATTCTTTTCTTGGTTTAAAGAAAAATGCAAAACACAGCTTTACTATAGACGAAATCTCAGGGTTTGCAATAGAGTTAAGTTGGTTATTCCAAAAATTGTTTTTTCAGAACACTCCAAATACCCCCTTAAGCAAGTTGCTATTAATTCCACCACTGTTATTCCAATTCCTTGTATAAATTTTTAAATTATGCAACTAGAATAATTATTGTCTTGATATAAAATGTCAAGATAAGAGAATGGAAGCTATCAATTTAATATGTAAAATAGGACATTGAAAAATAAATATTCACATAGACCAGGTGCTGCTGTATGGAGAAAGTACAGTGTCTGAATGGGCCACCAGTTTACTGCTGATTTCTAAACAAACCAGGAAGATGTGCTAATCCACTTAATGTTGAAAATCTGCTAATGTATTAGCTCTGATTTTATTTGGAAATTCCAAATAAAATGAACAGGTTGATCTTAATTTATAACCTAGCAATTGAAAGGTGTCTGCACTTCAGTTGAACTACTCTGATGCAGCATAAGTGAAAACTAACTAAATGTACATGTGGCATAAGTTGCAGTATATCTGCACGTAGAAGTCCCTGCAAGGTTCAGTCGTGTTCTTAAAATGTCACCAGACCCCATCAATTCAATGTATTCAACTGATACAGCCCAACCAATGGTTAAAATATTTGTATTCATGATTGAGGAAGACCATAATCTTCATAAGAATTGTCATCTTCCTCGCTGCTAGATTCTTCTCCAAACATATTCCCTCCTGTGGAAGTTAATTCAAGTTTGTTCTTTGATGTCAGCTTTAAGACAATGAGGACAGGGTTGTTGCTCATGCCAAGAAGAATGAGGTTGCTTTCAAGTGCTAAAGTCATGTTCTGAATAACGCTGTCTGGTGTAAAAATGGACAGTACTGTGCCACTATCGAGATCCCAAATACTCACGTCACCTGAGGCAGGAGAGTAAGATACGAGTTAGAGTATTTTAACACATTTAAACAACTATTTATAATACAGTACTTTCAAGCTCAAACTGCTGTGCTCTGGCTTTCTAATTGATTCAAGCCTATGATTCCTCCTCTCTACTCCCACCCCTTAAATACCATACAGGAAGAAGCAGAGAGACTGAAGTCTTCATAGGCTTTGGACTTTTTGGAATATGACATAATTTAATGGGAAAATGAGAAATACAATTGTATTTTATTCTCTCATCTCCTGTTCATTTAGAGGCAATCTCGCCATACACTTTACAGACTACCCAGATCTGACAGGTATCTGCCAATAGAGTTATTGGGTGCCAAAAAATGGTTGGTATTTGCTTTGTTCTGAATTAAGGCATTAAGGTTAAAAAATCTTTCCATAGCTACAGATCAACATTCTTCCATCATCATAGTAGGCATAATGGAGCTCTATCATATCTTCTTACTCAATTTAGCCCTTCGGAAGTAGATTAATGATTTATGTTAACCCAGTGCAGTTAATTAGCTTTCACAACTTTGATATATTGATGTTCTGCTGCAGGCCCATGGGCCTGAATCACTGCTTGATGAAATGTGAATTTGTGACTGCAGTCCAACATTTTTGAGTACATGCTGGAAACCAGGTACTCTATACAGATTTTGTAACCAGTCAAATTGTGTGCTTCCAACAGTCATTGAAGAAAATGGAATGGCTGAAGTAAAAGGACCAGTTCTCTTCAGCAAACAGGAAACTGCTCCCTGGGGCAAATAACTGAGCTATCATTTGAACCAATGGATAGTGTGCTTCAGGTCCCCACTTTTAATAGGGAAGAGAAACATTTAATTCTTAGAAACAGAGTTAAATCCAGTTGCACATACCTGCCAAAACGATTGCTTTTGATCCGCGATCTGTCAAATGCACAGTACTGTTTGTTCTAAAGTGAAGGTTTTCATATCCTGGGATTGTCTTGTGGCCTTTTCTGAATGGGTCCCACACTTTCAGTCTGTTATTTAAAAAAAGTGAAAACATTCCATCACTACCAATTAACTTGGCATGCTCAAAAGAAAAGGAAGGGTTCAAATTATGCTCCAGGTGTGGAATGATACAATTGCTGCCCTAGAAGAGTTGGTTAGTTCTGTGCCTTAATGAACTGAATTCATGACACAATACAAAGTCAACTTGTTAACTAAGTTGGCGATATCCCTGAAAGCAGAAACACAATGCACAAGATCATCTTTTTGATGGCAGCAGGTCTGGAAGTGATGCTGGCTACCTCATGTTCTGCTTGTGCATGTTTGGAGTATTGCAGTCACTGGGGACAGCATGAGCTGCATTTATCAGATTGCACACCCATTAGACTGCTGGTTTGTGCATTGTAAATAGAAAGGCTTGAGGAAGTAAAGTGATATTTTAGTTATTGCAGAATTGCAAGCATCTAACCTGCTCTTGTAACGAAAATATTTATGTGGTTGATTCAGTTAAGTTTGTGGTCAGTAGTAACATCTTCACCATCACCTCCACGTTGATGGGGATTTAGTGGCTTGTTCCTGTTGAAGATGATCACTGTTTTGAGTGGTAGGAAGAATTGTGTCATGGTCAAGAACTCAGTCTCTAGCTCAGATCTAGCTGGGTATTGTGTAAATGTTTTATTTTTATGCCGCATCAAAATGAAGGCTAAGGGGAAGCATGAGGAAAGGATGGCAGGTTATGCTAAAACAAATAGTAAGATGTTCTTCAAACCTATTAACAGTAAACAGTTAGTGAAGGATAGAGTGGGGCCCATAAGGAATAAGCAGGGCAAACTGCTCACTGAAGCAAAAGGTATGGCAGAGGTGCGAACTGAGTACTTTGCTTCTGTCTTTACCAAATTATAAAATGGTGATAATGGCCTAGTTGAAAATGAGGGTGTTGAGCAACTGAGCAGGATAATGGTGCAGGTAGAGAGGTTGCCAGGCATGGATGAAATGCATCCTCGATTACTGAGAGAGGTAAGGGAGCAAATTGTGGAGCTGTTGACAGAAATTTTGCATGCCTGTCTAAACACAGGATTACTCCTGGTGAACTAGAGGATTACAAATGTAACACCATTATTTAAGAAAGGGGCAAAGAATAACCCAGGAAACTACACACCTGTCAGCTTGACATCAACAGTGGGAAAACTGATGGAGGCCATATCACAGGACAAGGTAAATACACACTTAGAGAAAAACAAGTTGATACTAGACAGTTAACATGGCTTTGTCAAGGGTAGTCATGTCTGATGAATCTGATTGAGTTCTTTGACGAGGTGACGCAGGCAGTGGATGAGGGTAGTGCTGTAGATTTGGATATTTGGACTTTCAGAAGGCATTTGATACAGTGCCAAATGGCAGATTGTTAGCAAATTAGAAATGTTTGTGATTGATGGGTCTTTGGCAGGTGGTTTAGAAATTGGCTGAAATATGGAAACAGAGGGTAGGTATAGATAGGCATTGAGCCTGAACTGTCTGTGTTTCTTCTACCAAAATGCATTCCTTCACATTTCTCTGAATTGAAATTCATCTGCAAAGAATCTGCTTATTTACCAACTTGTCAATGTCCCTCTGAAGTCACTCAGTGTTATCCTCATAACTCACTATTCTCCCTAGTTTACTATCATCTGCAAATTTAGACATATTGCCCTCGACTGGAGACAAGTTCAAAGTGGTGTTCGCCAGGGATCAATGTTTGGACCCTTTTTCTGATTTATATAAACAATTTGGAGACGGGTGTTGAGGGCAAATTCTCTAAATTTGCAGATGATACTAAGCCAGGGAGAGTAATGAATTGTGAGGATGACACTGAGTGATTTCAGATGGACATCAACAAGTTGGCCAAATGGGCAGACACCTGGCAGATGAATTTCAATTCAGAGAAACGTGAGGGAATACATTTTGGTAGAAGAAGCATAGAGACAATACACACTCAATAGTACAACTTTGAGGGGAGTACAGGAGCAGAGGGATCTTCGGGTTCACTGGCATAATTCTCTGAAGGTGGTCAGGAAAGTTGAAACAGTTATAAAGAAGGCTTATAGGATCCTGGGGTTTATAAATAAAGGAATAACATATAAAATCAAGGAAGTGATGCTATGTACAGTGAGTAAAATTGAAAAGCTTTATAAAACAGCAACATAGGATTTTGAGAAGTTCCCTGACAATAAATAAAGCCAGATACACCAAGAATGAAATAATTAAGGGGAGCAAACCATTTTATTTAGCCCATCATGCCTGTTTCTCCGTCTGATAAAATTATCACAACTGATTGTTGGCTTAATTCCACTTTCTTGCCTGTTCCCCTTAAGACTGATTGAATAATTTTTGATCAATCTTATCCCTGAATATATTTTATGGTCAGTCTCCAATTATTCATTTTGCAAGAGAATTCCAAAGACTAATAACACTGATCCCTGTCCCTTAATTTAAATCTGTCCCTAGTTCTAGATTTTGTCCTGAGGGGAAACATCTCAGCATCTACCCTGTCAAGTCTGCTCAGAATCTTGCACATTTCAATAAAATCACCACTCATTCTTCTAAACTTCTGTATGTTTGGACCTAACCCGCACAAACCTTACATCATAAGACAGCCCCTCTATCATAAGATTCAGCCTAGTAAACATTCTTCAAATGTTTTCAATGCAAGTACATCCTTCCATGAGACTAAAAGTGTACAATGTACTCAAGGTACAATCTCAGCAAAGCACTGTACAGTCACAGTGAGGCTGCCCCTACTTTATACACTAATCCTCTTGCAGTAAAGACCAACTTTGGTTTGCTTATTACTTACAGTGCCTGTGTGCTAATGTTTAATGTACAAGAACATCCTAATCCCTTAGTACTGCAGCAATTCACAGTTCTCATTAAAAAAAAACTTTTGCTGTTCTATTTTTCCTGCCAAACTGGACAACCTTTCTTTTTCCCACATTATATCCCATCTGACAGTTTTGCCCACTCAACCTACTCTTCATATCCAATTCACAATTTGTACTACTACCTATTTTGTATCTTCAGCAAATTTAATCACAGTATAGTCAGCCTCCTCACCTAAGTTATTAATATAGATCATAAATAGTTGAGGCCTCAGCAATGATCTCCACAGCACTCCAATTATGGTTTGACAGTCTGAAAATGACCCATTTATCCAAGATCTTCTGTTTCATGTTAGTTAGACGTTCCTCTATACTTGCTGATCTATCAACCTCAACACCACAGAAATTCTTGTGCAGAACCTTCGTGGCATCTTATCAACTATCTTTTGGAAATCCAAAATGCTCTGTACTTACTGATTTCCCTTTATCCACTGCTTGTCAATCCTCAAGAGAACTCTAGTAAATTTGTCAAACCTTAGTTCACTTTCTCAAAACCAAGTTGTCTCTGCCTTATTTTATGATTTAGAAAAAAACCCTGCTACTTTTTTTAAGAAGCAGTAACAAGGAAGAAATAATAAGACAATAGAGTGCCCAATGAACGGCAGGACACTAGGAAGTACAGAGGAATCTTGTCCAAAAATCCCTGTAAGTGGCAGGACAGGTTAATAATTAAGAAGGTATACCGGACGCTTGCCTTTATCAGTCAAGGAACAGGTTATAACAGTATGGGATGTTATGCTGAAACTGTACAGAATTTGGTTAGGCTACAGCTGGAGTACTGTGTGCAGTTATGGTCTCTGCACTATATGAAGATGTGATTGCACTGGAGGTGTGCAAGGGAGATTCACTAGGATGTTGCCAGGGATGGAGCACTTTAGCTATGAAGAGAGGCTGGATAAGCTCAGGTTGTTTTCTTTGTATACAACAGCTAGACAGCCAGAATCTATGGAATTTACTACCAATGCATCCATTATCAAGTAGCCACTTCTCGTAAGACTCTAGGATTAAGCCCTTGCGTTCTGTGGACTGTAGTTATGTTCAATATATCAATAATCATTGCTATAAATTTAGTATTCTCTTGTATGTCCCCAGTACCAGTTTAAATTACTACACTAATTCACAGAAAGAACAGAATAAAATTCACTGATTACCTACCTGGTCACCTAATTATTGCCTCTAGATTTTTATTGTATCTAGCTCCCTCTCTTGGTCTCATCCTTTTTATAAAGGAGAACTACACCAAATTTTCTTGCTTACCAAAATCCCAACAGTTAAGTATTCAGATTTGCTTTAGTCTTGAGTTGCTCCTTCAGGAAAATAGCCATCTAATAAACGTGTTTCTCAAAAACATTGCAATTTCATTCTGTCACCAATAGAAGGCAGTAAAGGATACTCTAATCCAACAGATGAAGTGACCCGAATACAATTTAATAGTATCAATGACAATGTCTCAGGAAAGTGCATGTAGTAAGAACATGTTATGCAGCAGAATTTTACACCAAAACAGATAAAGTATTAGGGCAGATGATCAAAGACTTAAGTTCTGAGGATCATATCAGAGGAGGGAACAGAGTTAGGTGTCTGAAGTGATCTTTCCATTTAGACAAAAGGACCGTTCTACCCAATCTGTTGACCTTGCCCCACGTTGTGCTGCAATTTGAAAGACATGCTTGTCATGATTAATGAGCTTTGTGTTATTCTCAATCAGTGAAGTGTTTAAGTTTTTGAAGTGATAATAGTATTATGCAGTACCTGTTTGCTTCCATAACACCAAACACAATTCGGTCAGCATTGCCCGTGATCGCAATGCAACAGACGTTTGGTTCATTTTTTAAACGTTTCTTGACCTGAACACAAAACAATGTACTTTTCAAAAAAAAAATTATGCAAGTATTCATACATGGTATCTATACATCTGTGAGAATGTATTAGTTTATTTGGCTTGTGTGACCGGTTTATTTGTTCCATTGATGTTCACAAGGGGTAACATATTAACCATTCACCTGGTGTTTGCTCTACTTTGGTGCAATTAATGGAACCTTTTGCATTCAATTGAGAGAGCAGAAGAGGCCTTCATTTAATAAAGATCCTCAGACAGTGACAACTACAGTGAAGTATCAGTGCCAATGGTGTGCACAAATGTCTAGAACGAGGCTTGGAACCAGATTATTTGGCTTTGAGGCAAAAGTGGAAACTGCTCTTTCTCCTGCTAGAAATACTCAATTAAGATCTGGCTGCATCTGTGCAGAATTTTGCTGTCACAAGGCAGGATCACTTCGGCATGGGAAACAGCAAAATTGGTGGTGTGGGGCTGGTGAAGCTAGACCAAAGTGTTAGGGATGGGAGAAGCATAGAATTTCAGAAAGGCTTCCCACCACAAAAGGGTAGTGAAACAAATTTAGATATTCAAATGATATTTAAGGGCTGTTTTACTGGACTATTGGCATATTTCCAATGGTGGATTGTTACGCCCCCACCACCCCTACTGGTGGCTGGGAGGCAAGCAGATGAATTCAGGTGCCCTCCCAGCAGTCAGAATGAAGGGAGTAGGAGTAGTCTTGTATTTAAGAGGGGCTGTGGACAGGCAAGGTAGCCTGAGCAATTCTCTTAATTGAATATTAAAGGAAGCTGCCATGATTTTAACTACATTCAGTTGGCTTCAGGGCTCCACCTTCCTCAAAAGTAACCACTGTTTCCCATGGTGCTGCTGAGTCTCCTGAGTTGTTGGCCAATCAGATTGGCTGGCAGTTCTCTGCAGAGGGACTTGTTCCCAAGAGAAGGGCAGTCACCAGTCAATCAATTCTAACCCAGAGCTAAATGGCTGTGGAGCTGTCAACATCAGCCCAAGTGTGTTCACCATTGACCTTAGTGGCAATGGAGCAGGAAGCCCTGCAATCCCCCAAAATTTCCCACCCAATATTTAAAATGGTTACCGCAGTTCATGAAACAATAATTTGGTTTTCTCTGTCCACTGATGCTCCCAGGCCTGTTGAATATTTATAGCATTTTCAGTTTTCATTTCAGATTTCCATTGTCCACTGTATTTGTCTTATGTGGAATTGAGTTCTTACAATGGAATGTGGGTGATGCTGGCATGGTTAGCATTTGTTGTCCATCCTGTATTGGCCTTGACCCAATGGCTTGTTGGGTAGACGACAGTTAAGAGTTAACTCCATTGTTGTGGGTCTGGAGTCACATGTTGGACAGACCAGTCAGGATAGGGGTTTTCCTTCTCTAAAGGACATTAGTAAACCAGATACTTTTTATAACAATCAACAATTGTTGTCATGTTTATGTTCCAAATTCAGCAGCTGAATTTAAATTCCACCAGCTGTCATAGTGGTATTTGAACCCATGTTACCAGAACATCTTTGGATCACTAGTGTGGTGTCATTACCATTATGCCTCTATCTCCCCCTTGCTTATGGTCAGATTAAATTAATTAAGAATGCACACTATTTCCAAAATGTGAGATGATTTTCTAAGATGCTGACCATATCTTAGATATTACAACAAGCATAAAAGAAATGAATTTTTTTTTTACCTTCCCTGTCTGCAAGTCCCACAAAGTGACGTAACTAACTTTCTCCATGTCATTATAATTTGACAGCGCTAGATAGCTGCCACTGTATGTCAATGCAGCAATGTGCAAGAACAGCATGGATGTCCTGTCTTCAATGGTCTGAATATGAGATTCTGTCTCCAAGCTGAAGACAGCAAGATGATGTGCAAAGTAAGAGCAGACAATTATCTGAAACAGAGATTGCATTTAAAGTTTGGTATTAATATGACTGTAAAATGCTTTTCTCCCTCTACTCCTTGCCTCATGTCTCTTGAGGATATGTACAGTTCTTCAGATCCCCAATATCCTTGATTTCTTTCTACTGAATGCCAATCTGAACTTACATAGAGGAATGTCACATATCTGTCTGTCGGAATGTATTTGATCTCAGCACATTCTTATCTTGTCATTGCTTCCAATGATCAGGAGCACAAACTCTAGCTAATTTCCTTCTCCTCCATAGTTACTAGGATCTCACTTGACTACAAATTCCACTCAGCCTACCCACTACCATCATTGAAGCATGACGACTGGTGGGTCAGGAAAAGCCCTCATTCTGGGTAAATGGCAAAGGGATTACAGATGGCCTTTTCAAATCATAAACAAAAATAAAGATCAGCACAAACTGGACTGCAGGATTCCCAGTTTGTATGACTGTCTAATGACTCAATATCCCTTTACACCCGAAGTAAGCTACTCTTATTCTATATATGTGTGAATATTTTCAATACTGCTTGTATGATTTTCTTTCATATCTTCTTCAATCTGCTCCCGATCATCTCCGTGGCACCGTGAATTTTTGAGTGTCAACTTCCTCTGTGCCCATATTCTTAAATGATTCCAAGTAAGTGCTGAAGAATACTGATGGGTGATGAGCCCTTTGCTTTTATACATTCATGGGATGGGAGCGTCACTGCATTTATTGCTCATCCTTAGTTGTCCTTGAAAAGGGGGTAATAGCTTTGAACTGCTGCAGTCTATCTGTGGTAGGTAAATCCACAATGCCAATAGGCAGGGAATCCTAGGATTTTGACCTGGCAGCGCTGAAGGAACTGTGACGAGGTTCTCATTCTTTGTAGGGAATTTCTCAGCTCTGTTCATTGTCTTCCCCATCTAAAATCCCCTAACTGCCCGGCTGAGATGGAACCACCGTCTTGGGACTCATGGTGTGCACTAGTATAGCAAGGTTTAATTCTACCAAGTTACCTATGGAACAATAATTTATGGGAGCACTTGTACAGGCAATAATTAATTCTCTAATTATTCTCAATCTGTTTGAAAAGAATGATATAAACATAACATGACATAAGGTCATTCAGCCTCACAAATTGATTTTTTACTCAGCATGTGAATACGATGCACCTCCATGTAAATAGCTTAACGACTTACAAGTAGGTTCATCAAGCCCCAAGGTCTGAGTGTATAATTGGTTTTGAAGGAGACATAGTAAGAGATAACACAACGTAGAGGCAGGACAGTGGTGGTGTTGGAGTGACAACCGAGGGATCTTGCGTTCAAATTTCACCAAATTGAATACAATAATTTGAAATTGAACACAATATATCTGCTGACTTGTGGATTAACACCAGAATGAAGGACCGTAAAGTTGCAGGATTATAACAAAATATTAAAAATGTGGCATACATCAGACTCTAGTGTGATTTACTCAAATTCCTCCAAATGAGGAAGATTTCCATTTATGAAACACTTTTCACAACATTAGACTACCCCAAAGCTTTCTATCATCAATGAAGTAGTTTTGAAGTTTGGTAAAAATGGATGAACACAGAGCCGATCTGTTCACAGCAGAGCTTTATAAATAACACTGTGACAACTGGATAATTCTTTTATTGTTTTTTTTTTAATTGAGGGATAAATATTGCTCAGGACAACAGGCAGAACTCCACTGCTCTTCAAAACAATACATGCAATCTTTTACCTTCTCCCACAAAAGCCTGCCATCTCTTCTGAAAGTCAGGAATTGTTGAGTAAGTCAGCCAGTTGTAAAACTCTGAGTGATCAGCGTGATCTTATCTGCATTAACCAGCAAAACTAAAGCTTTAGAGTATCTGTCTGTCACACTATTCTCCCATTTGTGACAATGCTGGCCCTGTTTCACAAACTATGATCCTCATGCCAATATTGAACAATGTCTGCCCTCTGCCAACTGGGACCTGCATACCCAGATCTTGTCTTGTTTTCCTGTGCATCTGTTATACACTCCACGCCTTCTTGCTGCATCCTAAATAAAGTGTTCAAGCTGGAGAGGATAAAAAACTTTGCAGTAAATGTCTGCTATAACTTTGGTGGAAAACTTGTGGAAACCTTGGAAATATAAGGCAAACAACTGCTTATGCCATTTCTCCTCGGTTTTCTCTGCTCGAATTTTACTTATGATGGGAGATGGGAAAAAACTGCGTAATTTTAGTCTGATCTTCAATTGTAAGCTGCAGGTTTCATCTGCTGAGAATAAGTGTTTTAGCAGAATAACAGTGTGACTCAGTGGAAATTATATATTTAAAAATATTTTTATATTGTTTTTCTCACCTTCTCATCCCCACTTAGCAGGTACTGATCAATGGGGTTAGACTTCTCATTTGAGAACTGCTGCAATATTTCAATTTCCTGCTTCACTTCCTTGTCCAGCCTCCTTTTATGTGCCGTCTTTGTCTCACTGCGCTTTTCCCAGGGAGTGAGAAATGCTGAAATTACACAGGGACACTGTGTCTTACTTCATGATTAAAATATCAACCATGTGCTGACAGGATTTCCTCTTACTTGTTTCACAGCATGTGGGCATTGTTGGCTGAGCCAACATTTGTTGCCCCTTCCTAAGTCCCCCGGAAAAGTTTTTCCTGCCCATCAGAAAGTGGTGCTGAACCAACTCCATGAGGCGCCACAGTTCATGTGCTGAAGGAACACCTACAGTGCTGTTGGAAAGGGAGATCTAGGATTTTGACCGAGCAACAGTGAAGGAACAGTGCTATAGAGTCAGAGATATATAGCACAGAAACAGACCCTTTGGTCCAACTTGTCCATGCCGACCAGATATCCTAAATAAATCTAGTCCTATTTGCCAGCATTTGCCCCAAATCCCTCTAAACCCTTCCTATTCATATACCCTTTGAGATGCTTTTTAAGTGTTGTAGCTGGCTCCACCACCTCCTCTGGCACCTCATTCCATACACGCACCACCCTCTGCATGAAGAAGTTACCCCTCAGGATCCTTTTCAATCTTTCCCCTCTCACCTTAAACCTATGCCCTCTAGTTTTGGACTCCCCTACCCTGGGGAAAAGGCCTTGGTTTCATCCTATCCATGCCCCTCATGACTTTATAAACCTTTATAAAGTTACCCCTCAGCCTCCGATGCTCCAGGGAAAATAGCCCCAGCCTACTCAGCCTCTCCCTATAGCTCAAACCCTCCAATCCTGGCAACATCCTTGTAAATCTTTTCTGAACCCTTTCAAGTTTAACAATATCTTTCCTATAGCAGGGAGACCAGAATAGGTGTGTAATGTTCATGGTGCTGCTGAGGCTCCCGAATTGGCAGTCCTATATCTTCAAAGATGCTAGCTCCCTTGCTGAGCAACAGTTCTGTAGACTCACCGGTTCCTGACTGAATTGGCCACTATTCAATGCAAACACAGAGAACGCTGGAGAAACTCAGCAGGTTTGGCAATATCTGTGGAGAGAGAAATAAAGTTAATGTTTCAAGTCTGGTATGACTTCTTCAGAACTATTTAATGTTGCCTTTTGATGGTGATTGTCCAAAGGCTACCGGACTTTAAAGGACAAAGGAAAAAGATTCACATGAGACTCAAAATGTTAATTCTGTTTCTCTCTCCGCAGATGCTGCCAGACCTGCTGAATTACTCCAGCATTCTGTGTTTGTTTCAGATTTCCAGCATCTGCAGTTTTTTTGCTTTTATTTTAACTTTTAATGTCATTTTAAGACTTCATTTTATATGTGAATCCTACTGGTTTTCTGTTTATGGTCCAAATGGAACAAACTATTTACATCTACATTATCTGCATTTTGCAATATTTTAATCATTACTCTTCCAAAATTTTTTTCTCTGAATGAAAGCAAACTGAATGCTGGTCAAACAGCATTCAGAATTACTACAGAGCTGTTTCAACATTAGATTTTTATTCTATTTCTAAAGGTCATCTCAAAGTTACAAGAAGTGAGTTCCAGTATCCTTCCCAAGACGTCTCATAGATGATACAGCTTGTGTTCATTCTAAATAGCTAACTTGTAGTATTCCTGTTCTGCATAAAACACTCACACTTGCAACATGGTATGGAATATATTTACCTCCTGATCCTTTCGTATCTCTTTCTTTTTTCTTCTGGGCCAGAAGCTCTTTGTAGAGATTGTCTTTTAAGTAGGAAGTGAAGACATTTAAGGAAAGTTTGTCTTTGTATGTGGGTCTGATCCGTTCCTTTATTGATCCAGTATTCAGGTTCCAGATAACAAGGTGATCTCTTCCCATAAACAGAAATAAGCATTATGTTTTCATTTTCTTCGAAGATAAGTGTCCTTTGTGATTTTTATTTATGCAGAATATGATTAGTACATTAAGTGGAAAGAAACTATTTTACATCTATTCTCTAACTTGTTATGTCATAAATCCTCCCCATTTAGTAACTTTCTTGGGTATAAGTTTAACTTTCCAAGTCATTATTAGAACTCTGTCTAGTTTTATTGCAAAGGTCTGCATCATAATTGGATGGCAGATGTTCTAACATCTCCTGAATAGTGTCGGCCAGAGTCAATGGATTAGACAGTAGATTTTTTTTACTCAGCCTGTTCAGAGATATTATTACACATCTTTACAACAGTTGGAACTTGAACCTAGGCCTCCTGACTCAGAAGTAGGGACACTACCATTGCACCAAAAGAGCCCTAGTCATGGGCTAGATTGTGTGCTTCCCCAGCAGTGGTTAGAATGCAGGATGAGTGCAAAAAAATCCAACAAGCACTGTACTCATTACATGCACTTCTGTTCCCAGCCACAATTAGTTGGGAGATAGGAAATCATTAGCCTACTTCCCTCCTCTTGAGCAAATTGAGGTCCTTAAGTCACCAATTAATGGTTACTAAAGAGTTTCATTTCACCACATCCAGCATTGTATCCATGGTGCCGGAATCCCATGTAGCTGTGCAGGCTGGTTTCAGGCAAGTGATGGGATGGGATCCCCTTCATGGGTTTCCTGCCCCATCAAAGGTGGTTTAATGGTTCTGGAAGAGTTATGTTCAAGTTTCATTAGCTACACCCAACCTTGTGAGATCACATAGTCTTTAGGTGGAGAAACGGTTCATCTTGTATAAGATCTGGCAAAGACAGAAATGACCCACCTGGCTCCTGATGACTGTACATGTACCTAACTAGTTAATGTTAATTATACCCATTGCTATCATGAAATAAACTGCACTTTGGTATGTAGACCAGCATTTCTTCTTTTTAAGACTCTCTCCAGTGGTATATCCTTTATCAATGATAATTAAACAGACCCTTAGATTTTGTATAGAAAGGCTGATTGGTGACAATGAACCATCAACTGCCAGTGGTTGGTAACCAGAGCCTAGCCCCTCAATCCCCTTCACTGTCAGTCTGGATATGTTGGCACAGTGGGCTGCCTGCAGTTCTAGCAGTGGCCATTCTCTCCCAGTGGCACTGCTGGAACTACAAATCTGTTGGCCATTTGATTCGCTGGCAGCTTTTTAAAATGGTATTTGTTCCTGAGACTGGAGTCCTGGCTCCAACAAATAAGCATTGGTTCTAGTGGCACATTCATTAGGATTGTGGAACATTTCAGTCAGAATTGGTGGTGGGGAGGTGACGTTGTGATGCAGGGAGTGTAATGTGGACTATGATTTTCAGTTCAGTCCAGCCATTGTTGTTCCACCTACCTAGTTTAAAACTATACTCCTGAATAATAATTCTTAAGACCTTTCTTGGGTTTAAATTAAACAATTAATACAGGGAGAACTAGCCTTTTGGATACAGAATTGACTCGAACATAGGAGACAGAGGGGGATGTCGGAGGGTTGCTTTTCAGACTGGAAGCCTGTGACCAGCAGTGTGCCACAAGGATCAGTGCTGAGTCCACTGCTTTTTGTCATTTTGGATGTGTCTCCCTCCTAATAGGAAGGATGTTTTGAAACTTAAAAGGGTTCAGAAAAGATTTACAAGGATGTTGCCAGGATTGGAGGGTTTAAGCTATAGGGAGAGGCTGGGGCTATTTTCCCTGGAGCGTGGAGGCTGAGGGGTGACGTTATAGAGGTTTATAAAATCATAAGAGGCATGGATAAGGTGAATAGACAAGGTCTTTTCCCCAGGGTGGGCGAGTCCAAAACTAGAGGGCATTGGTTTAAGGTGAGAGGGGAAAGATTTGAAAGGGACCTAAGGGGTAACATTTTCATGCAGATGGTGGTGCGTGTATGGAATGAGCTGCCAGAGGAAGTGCTGGAGGCTGGTACGATTACAACATTTAAAAGGCATCTGGATGGGTATATGAATAGGAAGGGCTTAGAGGGATATGGGACAAATGCTGGCAAATGGGACTAGATTAATTTAGGATATCGGGTTGGCATGGATGAGTTGGACTGAAGGGTCTGTTTCCATGCGTACATCTCTATGCCGCTATGACTCTAATTGCTATTTTAATAATTCTACAAGCATATATTTAAAGTGCACACAACATTTTGTATATCTTCCTTACACACCCTGTGTGAACTCTGATGAAAGATACGGAATGAGAAATACCCTGACCAGCTCAAGGAGTTAGAAAAAAAATGCAACATTTTAAAAAGGTGAAAACAAAATATCCCATCACGCGTGTTCCAAAGGAGGTTAACTAACATAATCTGTTATTTACTTTTTCTTTCTACTATTTTTGCTGTACCAAAGGCTACTATGTCCCAGACACAAGACATTCAGTCACATTTCTATGAAGAAGAAAAACTATCATTGGATTACGTCTTGTACATCACTAGGGGAAGCGAATACTTTGGCAGCTTTCATCCTTTACAAGCATTACATTTTGAAGTATATGTTACCTGGGAAGTGTATTCTCACCTGTATTCAGATAACCCTAGTAGCAGATCTCCTGGCAAAATTCTATATTCATGCTTGGGAGAAGGGATAATATACAGGCCAGTCAATTTCTTCGAGAACTTTTTTTTCAACAGATCATACATTACAAGTGTCTGGAGCAAAGAAAATAATAATATTGATAAAATTTTAAAATAAGCATCTACGTGGGGTGCAGGTTTCTTAGATGGTAGAAATTAATTGTTCGAAGGTAAATTGAACTGTGAACAAGATAGAAAGTACAATATTTCAATACTTATCCTTTCTGCTGATTAATACAGTGAGAGAACTATTCATAGCCTTTCTAGGAAATGGCTGGACTGTATGCATTTGTGGCATTTCCTATTTTTGCTGATGATAATTGTTTGATTTCTTTAATTCAGTGAGACAGCAGTATAAGACTGTATGATGTAAGAGCAGAAGTAGGCACAGCAACTCTGCTCTGCCATTCACTGAGATCATTGCTAATTTGACAATCCTCAATTCCACTTTTCTGCCTTTTCCCAATATGCCTTAATTCCTTTACTGATAAAATATTTCAGACTTAAGTATGTGGAATAACCCAACCTCTACAGCTCTCTGTAATTAAAAGAAGTCCACAAATTCTTTACCCTTTGAGAGAATAAACTTGTCATCTCTTTTCAATGGGTGACTGCTTACTCTGCAATTATGCCCTCTGCTCCTAAACATTCCTACAAGAGGAAACAACCTTCCTGTATCTACCCTGTGAAGCCCCCTAAGAATCTTATATGCTTCAATAATGTCTCCTCTCATTCTTCTAAACTCCAATGAGTACAAGCCCAACTTCTCCTTATAAGAAACCTCTCCATTTCCGAAATAACCATTCCAGAGAACCTTCACTGGACTAGCTCCAATGGCAAAATATCATTCCCTAGGTAAAGGGTCAAAACTGTTTCATAGTATTCTAGGGTTGATCTAACCAGTACGTTGTATAGATTTAGTAACACTTCCCCATTGTTCCATCAAAATAAAGACAACATTCTACTTGCCTTCCCCACTACCTTTTGAACTTGTATGTTAGCTTTTTGTGATTCACGAACAAGGCCTAGTAAATCCCTCTCTGCTGCAGCATTTTGCAGTATTTCTCCATTTAAATAATAGTGAACTCTGCTATACTCCTACTAAATAACCTCTCATTTTCCCATACTATATTCTATCTGCAAAATTTATCGACTTAACCAGTCCATAAACCTTCTGTGGACTCTATCATTCTCACTACATGCCCTTCCATTTATTTCTGTGTCATCTGCAAACATGGCAATAGTACATTCATTTCCCTCAAAGTCATTATTATATATTGTAAAATATTGTGACCCATGAAGCATGCCACTATTTGCAGGTTGCCATCCTGAAAATGCCCCCCTTATCACAAATCTCTACTTTCTATTAGTTAGGTAATCCTCTATCCATGCTATTATACTACCCCACCCAACAAGGTGGGCTCAAATCTTTTAAGTAGCTTACTGAGTTACCTTATTGAACATTTTTTAGAAATCTAAATATATTACATCTAACAGTTCCCCGTTATCTATCCTGCATACCACGTCCTCAAAGAATTCTAATAAAATTTTCAGACATAATTTCCCTTTCATGAAGCCATGTTGACAGCTTGATTATATTATGCATTTCTAAAATGTCTGCTATCAGATCTTTTATAATGGACTGTAATATTTTTCCAATGACAGATGTTAAGCTAACTGGCCTGTAGTTACCTACCTTATATCTCTCTCCCTTTTTGGACAATGGCAATCTTCCAATACTCTAGGACTTTTCCAGAATCTAAGACTCCTTGGAATTCTACTAGCAGTGTATTCACTATCTCGGTAACTATTTCCTTTAATGCCCTAGGATACAGCCCATGAGATCCAGGGAGGGGGAGCCTATCAGCCTTTAGTCCCATTAGTTTCCCCAGTACTTTTCCATCTAGTATTGGTTATTCTATTTATTTCTCCCCATTCCTTGATAATTTAGCAGTTTTGGAATGCTCTTCATGTCTTCCACCATAAAGATCGATACAAAGTATTTATTCAACTCTTGTCTTTTCCTGTTTCCCCATTATTATTTCCCCAGCCTCTTCTCCAAGTAGCCTTTGTTCACTTTGGCCTCTCTCTTTCTTTGTATATATTTAAAGACTTTAATATTACTTGCCAGTTTGCCATCAAAAGGTTATTTTCTCCCTCTGTTTCAGTTCAGCTTTTGTTGGTTTTAGAAACTTTCCCAATCCTCTGGCTTGCCACTAATCTTTACCACATTGTATTTTTTTCTTACAATTTGATGCTATCCTTAACTTCCTTGATTAACCATTGTTGGTTTCTTCACTTCCTAAAATCCTGCTTCGTCACTTGGATTTATCTCTGTTGTGAGTCAGGGACTATTTTCTTAAACTAATGTTCATCAACCATCTTTTTTGAACTAGGGGGCATGGTTTAACAATAAGGGATCTGCCATTTAGACTAAGTTGAGAAGAATTTATTTTTTCTGAAGGTTGTTAGCCTGTGTACCCCAGGGAGTAGTGCAGATTGGAGTATTCAAAATATTCAACGCAGAATTACATACTTGATTGACAAAGGAGTCAAAATTTTTGGGAGTCCCAGAGGAATGGAATCAAGGCCATGATCCAATCAGGTCTGACCTTGCTGAGTGGTGATGGATGGCTTACTTCTGCTCCTAATTCTTGTGTCCTTTTGAAGCTTTGGCACATTGGACTCAACTTGCATGACATAGCTGATAGTGTTAATTCAGATTTGCAGTTTTATACTGATATGAAAGCAGCCTCATTCCCGCATTCAATGAACAAAAGCACTTCCAAGAAGAATGAATTACATAAAATGGATTAAACAGACAGGAAAATAGAGTGCAGGTTTTGACCAGTTCCAGAGGTGATGGAAGCAAAAGTGTTTGGTAAAGGCAATGTGTTGGATTATTTACATGGGCCCAGTGGAACCCACACCCTCCAAAGACCCCACAAATAATCTGGGCCAATGTTTCCCTGATTTTGCCTTCTTCCCTCACCAAATTACCAGCCCTCCATCTGTTTTCCTTTGGTGAATCTGGAGAGTTGTATTTGGATGTCATATTGGCATCCATCCTTTTCTGATTTTCATTTTCAACAATGTCAGTGTAAACAAGTATTGGGAAGGAAGGAAAACTGGCTGCTGACTTGCATTAATCAGTTTTACACTATTGCCAAAGTCAAGCTATCTGCCACTGACATAAATAAGCTGTGATAATTTATATCCAGACACACAATTCATATAACTTTGCATTGTAACAGAATGGAAAAAAAAATACCTGAAAAATGGGCCTTGGTGTTTCTGTGGAAGTAGCTGAGCTCTTATCTGAAAGGATGTAAAGTTTCATATCTCTCACGAGTACAGTGCTTGTACTTTCAACCAGCCCCCGCTCTAACTGGACTGCTTGTCCAATATACTTAGATTTTCTTATGTTCCAGACAGAGATAACTTCTGCATTTAAGCTCATGCACACTACATACCTACAATACAATAAACACAGAAATAAGATCTTGAAACAAATAAATCAAAATGAGTAATAGTTTACAGAAACTGTTTTACTTACTTACTTCAAAAGATAGAGTGTTGTTTAATTTTTTTCTGCATGTCGTTGAAAATATTCTCCCTGCTGTGTGTTCTAGGATCAGTTCACAAAGCTGTTCCCGTATAACTACAATATCAATAACTAGCCAACAATGAGCATTGGTATCTACCAACACAGAAAATTGCCCAGCTATGTCCTGCCACAAAAAGCAGGATGAATTCAAACAAACTAATAACTGCTCTATCAAGCTACTCTCAATAAACAGTAGAGTCGTTTGGAAGTCACACAACATCAGGTTATAGTCCAACAGGTTTATTTGAAATCACAAGCTTTTGGAGCACTGCTCCTTCGTCAGGTGAATGGAGGGAAGTGCTGTCCAACATCAGCACCTCTACAACAGTAGAATAGGGGAGACAGCGGTGCAGAGGTATTGCTACTGCGCTAATAATCTAGGTAATTCTCTAAAATCATTGGTTTAAGTCCCAAAATGATAGCTGGTGGAATTTAAATTCAACTTTTAAATCTTAAATATAAAGCTAGCCTCTGTCATGGTAACCAAGATGCTTTTGTCAATTGTCATTTAAAAAAAACACTGCTCAGTCACCAATATTCTTTATGGAAATCTATTTTGCACCTTATCAGGTCTGGCCCACGTGAGTCCAGGCCCACAGCAATGTGGCTGACTCTTAACTGTCCTCTGAAATGGCTCATTGTGGGCCATCAGCAGCGGCAGAATTAGACTCTGACAAAATCAGCAACCTCACGGCCTGACATATCCCCATTCTACCATTAGCATCAAGCCAGGGCATCAAACCTGATTCAGTGAAGACTGTGGGAAGGCAACCCAGAGACAAAGCCAGCCATACCAAAAATGAGGTATCACCCTGGAGAAACTAAAAAAAAGGACTACTTGCGTGCCAAACAGCATAAAGCAGCAAGTGACAGGGCTAACAGATTCCTCAATCAATGTCCTCCTAAAATACATCACCTCACACTTTTCAGGCTTAAATTCCATTTGCCAGTGTTCAGCCCATCTGACCAACCCTTCTATATCATTCTGTGATTTTGTGTCATCTGTGAACACACTGATCATACCTCCTACGTTCATGTCCAGATCATTAATGAACACTACAAAGATAAGGCACGCAGCACCAAATCCTGTGGTATACTACTGAACAGAGACTTGCAGTCATTAAAGCATTCTGCAACTATCACCATCTGCTTTCTGTCACCCAATCAACTTTAGATCCAAATTGCCAAATTGCCCTGGATCCCATGGGCTCTTAACTTGTTAATTAATCCACCATGCAAGATCTAGTCAAAAGCTTCTCTGATGTCCATGAAGACTACTACCTTCATCTACACAAACAGTCACTGCCTTGAAAAATTCCATCAAATTTGTTAGACATGATCTCACCCTTTCAAAGCCATACTGACCATCCTTGATTAATTCTAAACTCTCCAAGTGGAGATTAATTCTGTCCCTCAGAAATGTTTCCAACAGTTTCTCTGCCACAGATGTTAGCCTGGAGTTTTCTGATTTATTCTTACCACCCTTCTTGAAAAATGCTAACACATCAGCTGTCCTCCAATCCTCTGGCACCTCTCCTGTGGCCAGAGAGGATTTGAAAATTAATGACAGGGTACTTGCAATCGTCTCTCTTGCCTCCCACAGTTGCATGGGGTACATCTCATCTGGGCCTGGGGATTTATCCCTTTTCAAACCGGCTAAAACTGCTAATACCACCTCTCCTTCAATGCTAATTCAAATGTATTATAGCCCCCCTCCCTGATTTCTATACATACATCCTTTTCTACAGTGAATAAAGATGCAAAGTACACACTTCAAACTTCAGCTCTGACTTCTGACTACATATAAAGATTGCAACTTTGGTTCCTAACGGGCCCTACTCTTTTCCTGGTTATTCCCTTGCCACTAATATACTTAAAAAAAAACAAGAACAAAGAACAAAGAAAATTACAGCACAGGAACAGGCCCTTCGGCCCTGCAAACCTGCACCGACATGCTGCCTGTCACAACTGAAATCCCCTACCCTTCCGGGGACCATATCCCTCTATTCCCAAGCTATTCATGTGTTTGTCAAGACGCCCTTTAAAAGTCACTATCGTATCTGCTTCCATTACCTCCCCGGCAGCGAGTTCCAGGCAATCACCACCCTCTGTGTAAAAAACTTGCCTTGTACATCACCTTTAAACCTTACCCCTCGCAGCTTAAACCTATGCCCCCTAGTAACTGACTCTTCCACCCTGGGAAAAAGCTTCTGACTGTCCACTCTGCCCATGCCCTTCATAATCTTGTAGACCTCTATCAGGTCACCCCTCAATCTCTGTCATTCCAGTGAGAACTACCCAAGTTTCTCCAACCTCTCCTCATAACTAATGCCCTCCACACCAGGCAACATTCTGGTAAATCTTATCTGTACCCTCTCCAAAGCCACCACATCCTTCTGGTACTGTGGCGACCAGAATTGAACACAATATTCCAAATGCGGCCTAACTAAGGTTCTATAAAGCTGCAACATTACCTGATAATTTTTAAACTCAATGCCCCGGTCAAAGAAGGCAAGCATGCCATATGCCTTATTGACTACATTCTCCGACTGCGTTGCTACTTTCAGTTACCTGTGTACCTGTACACCCAGCTCCCTCTGCCTATCAGTACTCTTAAGGGTTCTGCTATTTACCATATATTTTCCATCTGGATTAGATCTTCCGAAACGCATTACCTCACATTTTTCCAGATTAAACTCCATCTACCATCTCTCTGCCCAAGTCACCAACCGATCCATATCCAGCTGTATCCTCTGATGTTCCTTATCGCTATCCACAATTCCACCAACCTTTGTGTCATCGTTAATCTTACTAATCAGGCCAGTTATATTTTCTTCCAGATCGTTTATATATATTATAAATAGCAAAGGTCCCAACACTGATCCCTGAGGAACGCCATGAGTCACAGCCCTCCATTCAGAAATGCACCCTTCTACTGTTACCCTCTGTCTTCTATGACTGAGCCAGTTTTTTATCCATCTTTCAAGCTTGTGCGACTTTAGCGATGGAAAGGGAGCGGTATATACCGCAGGGCAAGAGTTATAGCTGGGGGAAAGGCAATTATGAGGCGATGAGGCAAGATTTAGGATGCATAGGATGGAGAAGGAAACTGCAGGGGCTGGGCACAATTGAAATGTGGAGCTTGTTCAAGGAACAGCTACTGCGTGTCCTTGAGAAGTATGTACCTGTCAGGCAGGGAGGAAGTGGTCGAGCGAGGGAACCGTGGTTTACTAAAGAAGTTGAATCTCTTGTCAAGAGGAAGAAGGAGGCTTATGTAGAGATGAGGCATGAAGGCTCAGTTAGGGCGCTTGAGAGTTACAAGTTAGCCAGGAAGGACCTAAAGAGAGAGCGAAGAAGAGCCAGGAGGGGACATGAGAAGTCTTTAGCAGGTAGGATCAAGGAAAACCCTAAAGCTTTCTATAGGTATGTCAGGAATAAATGAATGACTAGAGTAAGATTGGGGCCGGTCAAGGACAGTAGTGGGAAGTTGTGCGTGGAGTCCAAAGAGATAGGAGAGGTGCTAAATGAATATTTTTCGTCAGTATTCACACAGGGAAAAGACAATGTAGTCGAGGAGAATACTGAGATACAGTCTATTAGACTAGACGGGATTGAGGTTCATAAGGAGGAGGTGTTAGCAATTCTGGAAGGTGTGAAAATAGATAAGTCCCCTGGGCCGGATGGGATTTATCCTAGGATTCTCTGGGAAGCTAGAGAGGAGATTGCAGAGCCTTTGGCTTTGATCTTTATGTCGTCATTGTCTTCAGGAATAGTGCCAGAAGACTGGAGACTAGCAAATGTTGTCCCCTTGTTCAAGAAGGGGAGTAGAGACAACCCTGGTAATTATAGACCAGTGAGCCTTACTTCGGTTGTGGGTAAAGTGTTGGAAAGGATTATAAGAGATAGGATTTATAATCATCTAGAAAGGAATAATTTGATTAGGGATAGTCAACACGGTTTTGTGAAGGGTAGGTCGTGCCTCACAAACCTTATTGAGTTCTTCGAGAAGGTGACCAAACAGGTGGATGAGGGTAAAGCGGTTGATGTGGTGTATTTGGATTTCAGTAAAGCGTTTGATAAGGCTCCCCATGGTAGGCTATTGCAGAAAATACGGAGGCATGGGATTGAGGGTGATTTAGCGGTTTGGATCAGAAATTGGCTAGCTGTAAGAAGACAGAGGGTGGTGGTTGATGGGAAATGTTCATCCTGGAGTTCAGTTACTAGTGGTGTACCTCAAGGATCTGTTTTGGGGCCACTGCTGTTTGTCATTTTTATAAATGACCTGGATGAGGGCGTAGAAGGATGGGTTAGTAAATTTGCGGATGACACCAAAGTTGGTGGAGTTGTGGATAGTGCGGAAGGATGTTGCAGGTTACAGAGGGACACAGATAAGCTGCAGAGCTGGGCTGAGAGGTGGCAAATGGAGTTTAATGCGGAAAAGTGTGAGGTGATTCACTTTGGAAGGAGTAACAGGAATACAGAGTACTGGGCTAATGGTAAGATTCTTGGTAGTGTGGATGAGCAGAAAGATCTCGGTGTCCATGTGCATAGATCACTGAAAGTTGCCACCCAGGTTGATAGCGTTGTTAAGAAGGCGTACAGTATGTTAGGTTTTATTGGTAGAGGGATTGAGTTTCGGAGCCATGAGGTCATGTTGCAGCTGTACAAAACTCTGGTGCGGCCGCACTTGGAGTATTGCGTACAGTTCTGGTCACCGCATTATAGGAAGGATGTGGAAGCATTGGAAAGGGTGCAGAGGAGATTTACCAGGATGTTGCCTGGTATGGAGAGAAAGTCTTATGAGGAAAGGCTGAGGGTCTTGAGGCTGTTTTCGTTAGAGAGAAGAAGGTTAAGAGGTGACTTGATAGAGACATACAAGATGATCAGAGCATTAGATAGGGTGGACAGTGGGAGCCTTTTTCCTCGGATGGTGATGGCTAGCACGAGGGGACATAGCTTTAAATTGAGGGGTGATAGATATAGGACAGATGTCAGAGGTAGGTTCTTTACTCAGAGAGTAGTAAGGGTGTGGAATGCCCTGCCTGCAAAAATAGTAGACTCGCCCACTTTAAGGGCATTTAAATGGTCATTGGATAAACATATGGATGATAATGGAATAGTTTAGGTTAGATGGACTTCAGATTGGTTTCACAGGTCGGCACAACATCGAGGGCCGAAGGGCCTGTACTGCGCTGTAATGTTCTATGTTCTATTACCTTCTGTATCAGCCTGCCATGAGGGACCTTGTCATAGGCCTTACTGAAGTCCATGTAGACAATATCTACTGCCCTACCTTCATCGATCATCTTCATCACTTCCTTGAGACACGACCTCCCCTTCAGAAAACCATGTTGCTTCTCACTAATATGTCCACTTATTTCCAAGTGGGTGTAAATCCTGTCTCGAAGAATCCTCTCCAATAATTTCCCTACCACTGACGTAAGGCTCACCGGCCTGTAATTAGCTGGATTGAACATTTCTGAATTTTCCTTAATGTTACCCGCCAGTGTTTTCTCATGTTTCCTCTTTGCTCTTCCAATTCTTTTTGAGCAACCCCCTGTACTTTCTATACTCCTCAAAGCCATCTGCTGTTTTGAGTTTTCATTATATACCATAAGCTTTCTTTTCTTTTCCTTATCCAATCCTATATATTCCTGATATCCAGAGTTTTATTGACATGTTGTTCCCACCTTTTACCTTTATGGGATCATGTTGGCCCTGTATTCTATTACCCTTCTGAATGTCTTCCATTGTCCTGATGTGAATTTTCTTGCAAGTAGCTGCTCCCTATCAACTTTAGCCAAATCCTGTCATACCTTATTAAGTTGACTTTCTCTCAAATCCAGAGCCTTTATTTCAAACCCTTCTTTGTCCTTATCCATAATTACCTTATTTTTTACTGAATTATAGTCACCACCACTGAAATTCTCCCCCAGTATCACATGTATCACTTCTCCAGCTTCTTTCCCTAAAATTACGTCCAACTTGCACCCTCTCTTGTGGGACCTTCTACATGTTGGCTTAAAAAGGTCTCCGGGACAAGTGAAAAATTCCATCTCCTCTAAGCCTTTCATAATCTATCCAAGTTAATACTTGGGAAGTTTTATTATAATTATATATAAATATAAAAATATGTATAATTAATAATTATTAATTTATTATGCTTACACTTCTTTGAGATTTACCTACATATCTATCTTTCTATCTCTCCTTTACTGTTTGGGGGGCTTATAGGCTACCACCAGTGACGTGATTTCCACACTTTTTATTTAAAAGTCATCCCCCGATTAATAATAAATAATTTTCAAAAATCCATAGACAGAGTTTAACGTGGTAAAATTTAGATGCAATTTGTACAATTAATCCAATTGTGGATGCAGTAACCTTACCCAGGATAGCTTTTCATTGGAGTAATTTCCCCAATCGTTTCAGTGTTCTTCATATTGTTCACACTGATGCTCAATGACTGATCATTGATCTTAGAAGCTAAGTTCCAGACCCGCAGGAAATTTTCTCCATTACAGACGGCCAGGCAGAAACGCAGGTCAAGGCATGCACCTGAAATATCAAGACATCCATTATTCTACTGGATGTAACATGATATATTTAATGGAAAGTTTCTCACATGAACATTAGAAATATCCACGATATGGAGGTGCCGGTGTTGGACTGGGGTAGACAAAGTCAGAAGTCACAGGACACAGCTCCGAAAGTTTGTGATTTCAAATAAATGAGTTGGATTAGAAATAGGAGCAGATATAGGTCGTACTATCCCTTAACCTTGCTCCATTATTCAATGAGTCCATGTTTGATCTTCTATGTCAACCTCACTTCCCTGCTTTATCCAAATATCCTCCAATTTTCATGGTATTCAAAATTCTATTTCAGTATTCAATATACTCAGTGAGCATCCAACAACAGAGGGTTACTAGGGAAAGGATGAGACCTATTAGAGACCAAGGGGATAACTCTTGCATAGAGCCAGTGGACATGGGTGAGGTCTTAAGTGAATACTTCTCATTTGCATTCACTCAGGAGAAAGATGGGGTTTTCTGTTTGGATGGTGAGGTTCTAGAACACGTTAAGATTAACAAGGTTGAGGTATAAGATGTATCCGAGGCTGCATCCCAGAGGCAAAGGAATAGATTGTTGGGACCCTGGCAGAGATATTTAATATCGCACTGGCCACATGTGAAGTGCAAAATGACTGGAGGATATCTAAAGTGGTTCCTTTGTTCAAGAAGGGCACCAGGGCAAGGCCAGGTAATTACAGACCAGTTAGTCTGATGTTAATGATAGCAAGTTATTGGAAAAAATTCTAAAGGGCAGGATTAAACAATACTTAGAAAGGAAGGAATTGATCAGGGATATTCAGCACAGATTTGTTAGATGGAAATCCTGTCTGACTAATTTAATTGAGTTTTTTTTGAAAAGATGACTGAACATATTGATGAGGGTAGTGCAATTGATGTCATTTGCATGGACTTCAGTAAGGTTCGACATGGAAGGCTGGTCCAAGTGGTGAGACCACATAGGATCCCAGGCAAATTGGTAAACTGGATCCAAAAGTGGCTTGCAAGTAGGAAGCAAGTAGGTGATGGTGGAACGTAGCTTTTGTGATTGGAAGCCTGTGACCAGCAATGTACCACATGAATCAGTGCTAGGACCCTTGCTGTTTGTTATGTACATAAACAACCTGATGTTAATGTAGAAAGTATAATAAATAAGTTTTCAGATGACACAAAAATTGATGATATTGATGATAGTGAGGGGAATGGCCTCAGGCTACAGAGTGATTTGATCAGCTGGTAAATTGGGTAGAGCAATGGCAGATGGAATTTAATCCAAATAAGTGATGAAGGTGATTGATGAGGGTAGAACAGTGGATGTTGCCTACATGGATTTTGGTAAGGCTTTTGACAAGGTCCCTCATGGTAGGCTCATCCAGAAGCTTAAGACACATGGGATCCACTGTGACTTGGCCGCATTGATTCTGAATTGACTTGAAGGCAGAGGGAAGTGGAAGGGTGTTTATTTTGGCTGGGGATACGTGACCAGTAATGTTCCGCAGGGATCCATACTGGGACTACTGCTGTTTCTGATATATATAAATGACATTGGGTGAAAATGTAGATCAGTGGGTTCGTAAGTTTGCAGACAACACAAAGATTGTTTTCTGAGGAAGGGTCACTGGATATGAAATGTTAACTCTGATTTCTCTTCACAGATGCTGGCAGATGTGCTGAGTTCTTCCAGCAACTTCTGTTTTTGTCAAAGATTGAGGAAGTTGTGGATAGTGTAGAAGGTTATCAAAGGATACAGCAGGATATAGATCAGTTGCAGATATGGGTGGAGAAATAGCTGATGCAGTTTAATCCAGGTAAGTGTGAAGTGCTGCACTTTGGGAGATCAAATGTTAAGGAAAAGTATACAATTAATGGTAGGACCCTGAACAGCATTGACGTACAAAGGGATCTTGGGATTCAAGTCCATAGATCCCTGAAAGTGGCCACACAAATAGATAGGGTGGTAAAGAAGGCTTATGGCATGCTTGCCTTTATTGATCTGGGAATTGAGTACAAGAGTCAGGAAGTCATGTTGCAGCTTTGTAAGACTTTGGTTAGGCCACACTTAGAGAATTGCATTCAATTCTGGTCGGCGCATTACAGAAAGGAGGTGGAAGCTTTGGAGAGTGTGGAGAAGAGGTTTACCAGGATGCTGCCTGGATTAGAGGGTATGAGCTAAAAGGGAAGGCTAAAAAAACTCAGGTTGATTTCTCTGGAGCAGCGGAGGCTGAGGGGAGACTTGACAGAAGTCTATAAAAATATGAGAAACATAGATAGGGTTGACATTCATAATCTTTTTCCCAGAATTGAAATGTCTAATGCAAGGGGCCATACATTTAAGGTGAGAGGGGGAAAGTCTGAATGTGAGGGGCAAGATTTTTTACAGAGAGTGGTAGGAATCTGGAACACACTGCCAGTGGTGGTGGTGGAGGCAGATACAATAGGGCATTTAAGGGACTTTTAGTTAAGCAAATGAATATACAAGGAATGGAGGGATATGGACCATGGGCAAGCAGAAGGGATTAATTTAATTTGGCGTCATGTTCAGCACAACATTGTGGGTGAAGGGCCCAGTTCTGTGCTGTACTATTCTATGTTCTATGTAAGTGTGAGGTGATACATTTTGTTAGGTCTAATAAGGGAAGGCTATACACAGTAATGGTAGATCCCTACGGAGTACTGAGGAACAAAGGGACCCTGCTAAAGGTGTCAGCATGGGTATATAGGGTGATGAAGATGGGATATGAGATTTTTTGCCTCCAGTAGCTGGGTCATAGAATATAGGAACAAGGTAGTCATATTAAAACTTTGTAAAACATTCTTTAGGCCACCGATGGAATACTGTGTGCGGTTCTGATCACCACACTATCAGAACGATGTGATTGCACTGGAGAGAGTGCAGAGGACATTCACTAGGATGTTGCCTGGGATAAAAAGATTCAGTTATGAGGAGAGACTGGATAGACTAGGTTTGTTTCAATTGGAGCAGAGGAGGCCGAGGGGGAATCTGAGTGAGGTATACGAAGTTATGAGAAACTAGAAAGAGTAAATCATGAGAATCTCTTCCTCATGGCAGATGTGTCCAAGATCAAACAGCATAAATTTAAAGTGAGGAGTAAATGGTCTAAAGGGGATCTGAGAAATTTTTTTACATTCACTAAAATAGGTGGTACCTTGGACAGTGAGGAAGGTTGCAGCAGGATCTTGATCAGCTGGGGAAGTGGGCCGAGAAATGGCAAATGGAGTTTAATATAGATAAGTGTGAGGTGTTGCATTTTGTAAAGACAGATCAAGGTAGGAGTTCCATGGTGAATGGTAGGGCCTTAAGGAGTGAAGCGGAACAGAGGGACCTTGGAGTTCAGGTGCATGCTTCTCTGAAAGTGGAGTCACAGGTAGACAGGGCAGTGAAGAAGGCTTTTGGCACACTGACCTTCAGCAGTCAGGGCACTGAGTACAGAACTTGGGATGTTATGTTGCAGTTGTACAGGACGTTGGTGAAGCCGCACTTGGAGTGTTGTATTCATTTGGTCACCTTGCTATATGAAGGATATTATTAAGCTGGAAAGAATACAGAAAAAAATTACAAGAATGTTGCCAGGACTCAAGGGACTGAGTTATAGGGAGAGGTTCAACAAGCTAGGGCTTTTTTCTTTACAATGTAGGAGATTGAGGGGGGATCTTAGAGAGTGTATAAGATCATGAGAGGCATGGAGAGGGTGAAGGCAGTCAGTCTTTTTTTCCCAGGGTTGGGGAATTGAGGATCAGAGGGCGTCAGTTTAAGATAAGGAGGGAAAGAATACATGGGAACCTGAGGGGCAACTTTTTTACACAGAGGGTGGTACGCATATGGAATGTGCTGCCAGCGGAAGTGGTTGAGGCGGGTACATTAACAACATTTAAAAGGCATTTGGATGAATACATGGACAGAAAAGGTTTAGAAGGATATGGGGCAAGTGCAGGGAAATGGGGTTAGCATGGATGGACATGTTGGTCAGCATGGACCAATTTGGGCCAAAGGGCCTGTCTCCATGCTGTAGGACTCTATGATTCTATCCAGAGGTTGGAAGATATATGGAATGTACTGCCTAAGGGGGTGGTGGAGGCAGGTACTCTCACAACATACAAGAAGCATCTGGATGAGTATTTACAATGGCAGATTTATGAGGCTATGGACCAAGTCCATGGAAATGGGATTAGTGCAGTTTGGTGTTTTTTGGTTGGCATAGACATAGTGGACCGAAGCGCCTGTTTCTATGACTCTAACATCCTCGTGAATTGCCTCTGCACCACCTCCAGTGAAATGATATTCTTCCTATAGTGTAGTGACCAGAACTGCGTACAGTACTCCAGCTGTGGCCCAACCAATGTCCTGCACAGCTTCAACATAATCTCCCTACTCTAATAAAAACCGAAAGAACTCTGTATGCTGTAAATCAAAACCAAAAACAGAAATTACTGGAAGAGCTCAGCAGATTTGGCAGCATCTGTGGACAGAAATCAGAGTTAATGTTTCAGGTCGAGTGACCCTTCCCTGTATTCTAAGGAAGGGTCACTTGATCTAAAACATTAACTCTGATTTCTGTCCACAGATGCTGCCAGACCTGCTGAGCTTTACCAGCAATTTCTGTTTTTGTCTCCCTGTTCTTATGATCTATGCCTCAATTTATAAAGACAAGTATCCCGTAAACTTTCTTAACTATCCTATTAACCTCCCCTGCAACCTTCAGATATTTGTGGACACCCCTAGATCCCTATTCCTCAGAGCCTCCTAGTGAGTGAAAAAAATTCTCCTCATTTCTGAGTTAATGGTGTGACCCTTGATTCTGAGATAATGCTCTCTGGTCCTAGTCTCTCCCAAAAGGGGAACAATCTTTCTGTATCTACCCTGTAAAGTCCCCTAAGAATCTTGCTTGCCTCCAATCACTGTTGAAGAGAACTTGGCCAAGTGTTTATG